ACAACATGTACGAATGAAAGGACTTCCAACTTGAGAAGGTTGAAAACATATTTACGAAGTACTGAATCTCGGCTAAATGGGTTAGCTCTGTTAAATATACACAGAGATTTGGTTCCAACGACAAACGAAATAATTAAAAATCTTGTATTTGATAAGAAGTTAAAAAATCTTGTTAATTTAATTATTTTCTAGTCAATATTTTAAACACACTACTATTAGTATTTTCAATAAAAAAATTATATTCTACTTATATTGTATGAGAATTTAAGGTGAGGCTAGTTTTTAAAGCAAATTTTATAAAAAAAATGACATTACACTTTATTTCAACTTTACATTTAAAAAACCTTATTAAATATAATATACCTAACTTGAAATAATAAAAAAGAGGCTTGTAATATCCTATCCATAAGCACGAATTAGTAGCCACTGAGAGGTTCCAATCCAGCCATGACAGACAAATGGATAATATGGCAAAAACATTTGCACACATTATCAAAATTGTCTTTTAGTTTTAAAATTTTTAAAAATGCTAAATTATTACTAGCATTATCTAATGTAATACAAAAAAAATCAATTTCAAATTTTACTTTTAATACATTAAAAATATTATAAATATTAATAGCATTATGTGCTGATTTAAAAGGAATAAAATCTAATAAATGATTAATTAATTTAAAATCATTATCAATATAATGAATGGTTATGCCCATAAAGGGTATTTTATTTGGAGAGAACCAAATGTCCATTGTTAAAGAAAATTTAGAAGTAATTTTAGAAAGTACAGATTTTAAATTGATAAAAGAACTATGATAATGTTTCATAATTTCTTTTTCTAGAAATTAATGTTAATGAGGGGTTGCAAAAGCTTATTAAATTTTTAAATGACTCATTTTCAACCATTGAAAAGGCTAAATTATTTTGAATAAAAAAGTCCATAATTAAATTATTTAAATTAGCTTTGTTATTTACATTATTAATTAAAAATGATTTTATGGTGTTAATTTTTTAATGCCATTATTTATTTGTTCACATTTCTTGTATAAAGTTGGGTGGATGGATTTAAGATGTGTCCATAATCCTGAGGTTCTAAAATTGGGAATAGATAATTTTTTTTTACATTTATTACAAATAGCTATTTTTTTGTTATCACAACTAGTATAAAATTCCCAGATTTTTGCTGTATTTCGTCTTTTATTAGATATCGTTGATTCTTCTTGTTCATTATCGCTATTATTATTAGTATCAACATCATTATCTATATTTATTAACTCGATTTGGTTTTCATTCATTATAATATCCTAAATGAATAAATAGATAAAATTGATAGATATCATATAGAAAACTTACTTCCATAATAATAAACTATAATTATAAATAACACCAATATATAAATACAGGAATATTTGGAAGAAATAACAGATGTAATATGTTTATGAATGAAAGTAAAAAAATATACCACGATATAATTATCCACGATAAAACCAAATAATTTTATGTATTTATCTATTTTAAATTTATAATATTGGTATTGGTATTGGTTAAAATTGTATTTAAACAATATTTCAAAACCAATATATTTAGGTAATTGGTATTGGTATTGGTTGTAAAAACAATACCAATATTTAATTATATATTGGTTTATATTGGTATTGGTATTGTAAACCAATATTATATTGGTATTGGTCCCACCCCTACTCACGAGGAAAATAAAAATATTTTAAAATTTATTATAAATTAAATTATAAATCATAATTTTTGCAATATATTATATTTTATAAATTATAAATCATAATTTTTGCAATAAAATATTGTATTTTATTAAGGAAAAATTCGGGAAATTTTCCGTTATTTTCCGAGAAATTTTCTTACCTTTACATCTTTATCACATGCTTTATCAAACTAATTGCTAGTTAGATATTTCCTTATATTGGGGATCCAATAATTAATCAGCATATGAGCACATGTATTTTGAATGTTTTTTCAAATAATCTTTAATTTTTTTTCTTTAGGTGGAGAATTATAAAATCATGGCATGAATGAAATATGTGTTTTCCAAATAAAACATCTCGTTTTTACGTGTGATAAAGTACATTTTTCCCTTTGCACTTAGAACAATAAAATAGATAAATGTTAAAGAATAGGTTAAAATTTTAAATTTCACGTCCATAATATTTCTTTATTTAATATAATATTGGTAATTCCTTTTGGACACAACTTCTTCAACAGCTGCTTTCAGAGCTTTCTTGCATATTTGTATTTGCTTTTACATTCTATTAAAAACATCTTGTTTGAAGACATAGTAATTTCTCAAACCATGTTTTAGCAAAATTATTATATTTTTTTATATATTGAGATCCAGAAAGTATTAACGACAAAAATTCTTTTATTTTTATATTTTAAGATATAATATGGAATTTTATTATTAAATTATAATTAAGATGCCTTGATGATACAAATATATTTTTAAATAAATTGTAACCTATAGATTGAAAACATGCTTTAGATATATAGTAATTAATTAAATCAATATATTTATTCACCAACAATGTTTTAGGTATTTGAGCAAATACTCCTTCGGTCAATTGATCGACTTGCCAATCCTCATAAAAAGTATTAAAATTCCTCTGCTACTTTTATATTTTTCCTACTTCGTAGCAAGGAATTAGTTCATCAATAACTAATTTTGTTATTAGAAGCTTTAAAAAATTTACTCAGAATTTAATGAGAAGCAAATGCCATTGCATTATTTTTGACCATAACAATTCTGTCTAATATTCTTTTCTTTATTTTGTATAAACCATAATAAAAGATGTGTATTATAGGAAAATGAAATTATATAATATAATAAAATTTAGATTTGATTGATTATTGTTTTTATTAATAAGAAAAAAATAATAAAGATAGGCCAAATAAAAAATATTAAGTTTGTACAATTTTCAAAATTAACTATAAAATTTAAGAAATTATGAATTGGCTTTGAATTTTTGAAAATTAATAAAAGTCCAACATTGTTGTCTTCCTTCCATCATAAACAGTTGGCATATTTTTTGGTATATCATTGGTTATCTTTTATTTATTATCTGTCATATGATTGGGTGAATTTTATTTATTTATTTCTTTTTAAAATATTTTTTTGTTGAATGATATTTCTTATCAAATACCATTGCTTGCTTATTTTTACACATATTTTGTTTAAAATATTTTTTTGTTGAATGATATATTTATTATAGAAAATTATTTAGCCATTTTTTGTAAAAAGATAAATAAAAATGAGATGGATAGGATAAAATTTAAATAAAGGGAAGGACAAATTTGGTAAAAAATCTTTTGTGCAGTTTTGTAATTTAGATATATTTGATTCTTTCTCAATGGTCACTTATAACATTACTTATAAGCTTTATTTCTAATTTCATATTTGTTTAAAATATTTATTTTTCAAATTTAAAATATAAAAATGTATAACAAAATATATATACTATATATTTATAATAGAAAATGCTTGAATAATATATTTAAAAACATTTTTAAAGTTATTCAATAAATTTATATTTTCTCTCTTCTTTAAATAAATGTATGCCGCTATGTAATCTTCATAAACTGGGATCTCCCAGATTTAACATATTTTGTTTAGAGGTCTCGCCAAAGACGCTTGGACTGGGTATTTATGCTTCTATTAACCGGGTCCACAAAAATATATTATTTTCAAATAAATATTTAAAACATTTATCCTACTACTAAAAAAATTATTAAAATTTAAAAAATTATAAAAAAAATTTAAGAAATTAATTTTAAAAAAAATATATGTAAAAATTAAAACAAACCAATGGTTTTCAATAATAAAAATATCATTCAACAAAAAATAATTTAAAAAAAAATAAAATAAAATTCAATCAATTATATGACAGTCAAATAAATAAAAGATAGCCAAACACAATTAAAACCATAATTCTATCCCCATTATTTTCCCTTTAACTATTTTAAATTTTGTCTATTCAATATTAAAAAAATTAAAAGAGAGTCAAAAATATAAATTACATTGAGTCAACTTGAATTCATATAAATTCATTACATTTAAAAAATCATAGCTTTATTTTATGTTTACTATTTTATTCTTAAATCACATTTCTATTGCTTTATTAACTCTTTCCCTCCCCTCTTGATTTTCTTTCAATTCTAATATCATATTGTTTAATTCGTTATTTCTTATGCATGTTTTATAATTGTGAAAATGTCCATTTGCGATTTCTATATACTTTTTATACCCACAATGAATAAATAAATATAAATGACCTATATTGCAAGTCCTTGAAGAAGATAAAATCCTTCTTTTGGTTCGTCTGTTTTTACGGAAATTCTTTGGCCCAGTTTCTTGATTAGCTCTTGAGCTTGAGGACAAAAAGTTGTGAGAGTGTTTATGTGATGATTGGAATGAATAATGTTGTTCAGAATTTTTATTATATATAAATCTTTAAATATAAATCATATCTTGGACAAAAATTGACATTTGAATAAGTAGCATAAAATAAATGATATAGGATGGCCAATAAATGATAATATTATATATTAGATTTTTAATATGCTTCATGAAGCTATTTAAGAAAAATATTTGAAATTTTGTTTCACTTTTTTTATGGACATCTATGTTATTTATATTATTTTTTAGGGTTTTTTTTATAAAGATGTTTTGTTTCCTTTTCTCCTTATATCTTTTGTCATCCCGGAAATTTTTCTCCCGATTATAACTTATAACCCTCTTGTCCGTATAAATAATAAGATTATTTGAACCGAGAGGTGCACCATTATTGTTTAGACCCCTTTTTGTGAAATAAATTGCAAATTCCTTTGTAATTTATAAAGGGTTAAATAAAATAATACTATATGGTTATAAACCCATTGCGTAAGCTTTTTATGAAGACCGAAAATCATCATTTTTTTTATATGGAAAAGTGAAATAATTTTTGAATCCAATTATTATTATATATTTATAATTCAAAATTCAGGACAATGGCGGCTGGACTCCTATAATTTGGGCGGCCGATAACAAAAATGTTGGAGTTATCAAATGGCTCTTGGAACTTGGAGCCGATGCTAAGTTAACTGACTCGGTAAATGCCCGTTTTTTTAAAATAAACTTATTGATACCTTGATTTATTTTGATGTTCGAAAAATATTTTACTCTTTTATGTTGAGTTATAAGATAATTTTTCTTTTAGGAAGGCAATACTGCCCTACACTGGAGTTGCTTTTCGGGTTCGGTCAGCGCTTGTCAACTGTTTTTAGATACCCACTGTGATATAAATTGCCAAAATGAACGAGGAGATACTCCTTTGTAAAAAAATTAATCGATATTTTTGTTTCTTTTAATTTTAAGAATTTAAAATTTGCATTTAAATTCATTCCTTTACAAAGTATACTCTTTGTGGAAAAAAATTACTTTTCACCTGCCTAATAATATTTTTTTAAAGTCTCAATCATGATCACATAAGAATTTTCAATTTTGCATTTTAGGCACATAGCTTCCAGAAGGGAAAACAGGGATTGCGTTTTGTAAGTATATTTGTATTGCATCTCATCAAATTTTAATAATCATTTTTAATTATTAGAATTACATTTTAAAATTTAATTAATTTTCTTCACTACAGTTATAGTTAGAGGAAAGGAAAGAAAAATAAATAAATAATGTTTTTATAATGGTTTAATAATTTGACTCTTTTTCTTATTCAGATTTAAGAAGTTAATTAAAATATTTAGGAATATCGTCTGATCATATTTTGGAAGAAGATAGATATTTTATACTTTAAAATTACATAAAAAATAATTCAAAATAAAGAAACTTATTTTTTTTGTGTTGTCTCATCAATTAAGGAAAGAGTTTAAATGAAAAGGGGTACATTCAGCCCACTACATATTAATTACTCCATTGAACGAATCATATTTCTTATTTTTTGAAACAAAATCATAAGCCGAATAAAGAATTATTATAATTATTTAGATTATTGTTATCCCGAGGAGCGGACACAACCATAAATAACAATAATGGCGAAAATTCTATTCAAGTAATTTTATTATAAACTTTTAAATAAAGAAGGAAATAACAAAAAAGAATGAATTTTAAAATATGCCCGACTCTCTTATTTATAGCTCTATAATCCCCCCCCCCCACCCTAAATATTAGATTCTAGGCCACAACTAATAATCTTCCAAACCATTTTTCCTAATTAGAGTTATGTATTTTTTAATTCCTTTAATAATGAGTATTATCGATTTTTAGTGAAATAGGTATGATTGTTAGCAAGTTAAATAATTAACCTTTCTTAAAAAAGTAAGTGGAATAAACGCCTTTATCGTTTTACAAGCATAAATATATTCACAACTAATTTTTTTTCTGCTTCTCTTTTCTAAAAATATAAAGAGCTGCAAAGATATGAATTCCCAGGCATGGATGTCTCTCAAAATCAGCCAAAACCTTAATCAGTGGAGAATGGAAAATAACTATCCAAAATTTCATACTGTAACTAGGTTAAAATAAAAATTCATTTAATTTTCATTTTGATCCATAATTTTTCTTATCTCTCTTTTCATTGTAAGCGTCAATTTGAACATTTTTTTAACGGTTTCATCAGAAGTTCATCCACTGATGGTAAACAAATAATATAAATATGCACTAAGATGTACAGATTTATAAATATCGAATCAAGTTTTAATCTATCAATTAGTGTGGGTGGTGTTATATGCGGTATGGAATGATGGGACATAGATTTAAAATGGATGAGTATAACTTTAAGCATTGTTGGATGATATCGGAAGTCGTAATGAGGATTTGAAACTAATAAGATCTTATTATTGTTTATTTAGGTAAGATAAATTATTAATGTATATAAATGATAATCTATAACAATTGATAATAAGTATTGGTTGAATATAAAAAGAGATAATTTTGTATTTAAAAAGTGTAAAATTAGAAGAATTTTTTTTCATTAATTGATAATAATTATGTTATCAAACGTCGATCACAAAAATCATGTCTCCACGATCGACAAACAAAACTATCGAAAAACTTCACTCAAGATACCTCGATGAATATAGGGTTTTAAAACCGATCCAATGTATAGAAATGGCGGAGAAAATATTTTTGAGACAATGTTGATATTAGATTATAGGAATTTTTTAAAAATTTGCTTTCTATGCACTGGGTTTGTCGAAGAAGAAGGGGGGGGGGAGTTCAAATCCCCAAAAATTTTGAATTTTTTGATAATGAATTAATTTTTTTAGATAAAATTTTGCTAATTATTGTTTTTGTCAATTTTTAAAAAGATTTTTTTAGTTAATCCCCCCCCCCCCCTGCCACAGATGCTAGCGATGCTATTGTTTATATGTAAGATTTATTTTTTTGTTTAGTTTACTCCCTATAAACATTGTTCTCATAATCTTATATTTTTATATATATTAAATCAGTTGATCATATAGGTATCTATAAATCTATATAGTTACATCTCTTGATTATACAGTTATCAACTAAATACACGATTTTTATAGGTTTTATTATGTAAAATTTAATTTCAAATGGAATATATCCAGAATTTATTTTTGAAATATAATGTTGATCTGGAAGGTTGGCGGTAATCAACAAATTAGTTTCTTCACTTTTTTAATACAACCTCTTACAAATAAAAATGTATCTATAGACGTTCGTTCCACCAATTTAATTAACCACAACAAATAAACAAGCTAATTTTATGAAATCATATAAATATACAGTATAACCCCTGTTATCGCGATCACATTTATATTTCTTGTCCCGGAAATCTTGTAATTTGCAATATTTAATTTACCAACTTTCCCATTTTTGGTATATATTTTGAAATTATAACCAAGTTATATTTATATTCTTCTAACCACGTAATCAATAATGAAGCGATATCTCTAAGGGTAGGGAAAAGCACGCTATTCCTTGCGTTTTAGAAAAGAATGACCTAATTTCAAGCAACGATACCGTTAAAGTTCTATCTTGTCAAAATTTTATGTATGTTTCGGATCACGTTCAAACACAGGAATTGGACATAGACCTCACTATAACCTCTATGACGGTAAAATAACATTTATAAAACATTGGAATAGAGAGAAAAAGAAGGAATAAAGTAAGGACAATATAAAAGGATAATAAAAGATGGTATGGAAGAAAGAGGAACATATGTTTTTAAATCTTTATTATTATTAGATATGTAATTGCGAGGAGGACTGTTCTCAAGAAAATTGCAGTTGCATCAACGAAAGCGGAGGCTGTTTTTATGACCAAGTTATTTCAAATTTTAATAAAAATTGATTACCATTTACTTACGCATTTTGTATAACGTATACGCTTTGTTTGCGAATTTGTTAGTTGGAAAACTATAAAGGTCTCGAAAAACTAATGTTTTAAAATGACAATCAACAAAATAGATTGCCTAGAATTTTAAATTTTTGAGCTATAATATTTACTTACTTGTGGTACTATAATTAGACATTCGGGTTTTGTTCTTCGACATCTATTTAAATATTTTTACAACGGTCATTCGATTTGATATACAATTGTAGTCTAGAAGGAAAGAGACCTGATTGTTAAAGCGATTTTCAAAATTTATTTTATTCCATATATTAATTCAATGATCAAACATTGATGACTATTTCATCAAAATTTTAAGCAAACGAAAAAAAGGAATGTAAAATAAAATATCATAATGTATTTTCTTCTTGTTTTCTCCCGATATAATTATCAATTTAATAAACCTTTATCGGTGAACCCAGATTGTTACTTTTAATTATAATGAAAACAAAACATATTTTGCAAGACAAAACAGCAAACTTTCATTTAAACATTAAAAGAGGGATATTAGCGTATTTTGAAACAAATTTCTTGAAATAAAAGAAGAGAATCATAAGATTATATTACCATTTAGGGAATGGCCTTTAGTTTAAAATAATCTGTTAAACAAAATATTAAACAACAATGTTGTGTGTTGGGAGCACCATAAAATCCACCCAAGGTTGGACTGGGGATGTTGCAGCCCCATGGAAAAATTTTCCTAGCCACCTGATTTATGGGGAGTTTCGTTCCTCATGCCCCCATTTGCGAGATTTAAGCTGGGTCCCCTTCGAAAGCTGATTTTTTTTAATGAGTACTTAATTTTTTAAATAAAATTTTCACCAAAACGATGGGTTATTGAAATTGCAACTATTATATTATAAATTGATGATATGGCTGGTATTAAATTTTTTTTATTTATTTAAACAAATTGTACTTAATATCAAAAAATGTACATATAAAAATATATATTATTTCTAAAGTTTATATAATAAAATATATCTCATGAGATTTGAATAGCTCCGTTAATGTACTAAGGCTATATATAAAAAAAATAAGTTAAGAAATAAGAAAAGTTAAGTTGAATATTAAAATAAGGTTAAAATCTATAAATATATTTTTCTCTAATATAACATAAATAAATAAGGAAAAGGCTAGTATGAAACGATAGATCTATAAGACAAAATTTCACCAAGTTTTCGACTTTAAAAATATATATGAGGGGTGACATTTTAAATTTATTTATCTTTTTCCTTGTTTTTTTTGAGGTTTTGGACATATATAAAAATAATTCAATTTCATAAAACACATGACAAGATAATATTTTTTTATAAATACATTATTTTGTTTATTCCTTGACTCAAATGCATTTTTTCTAAATTTTTATTTATATCATTGCATTTAAATCAATTCCTTTGCTTTTCCTTTTTTAATATTTAAATTTATTAGATAACAAGCACTTACAAGAATGGTGAATAACATTTTTAAAAAATTTAACATACTCAAAAATAATGGAAATATTTACTTTTTTCTTTTAATATAGTTATTAGAAGGCACAATTTTATCAACACTGATAATTATTATTTTCTTTTCTACGGGAACTGACTACTGAGTTTCCACTATCTACCGTTGCAAAAGCCTAAAAATAGATAATTATTTGCACTCAGCGCTAGGGTTGAGATATTAAGTAAGGTAATACTAATATAGATAGCCTTTTGCAGTGTCAATAGAAAAGGCCGAACGTCGATCCCATATGGAAGAAGACAATTAAGTAGAGGGTCTTACCAATTTACAAATCTTCCCCTTTTCGTTTAAATATCAATAATTTAAACAAAAAATCTATCCTCCATTTTACGTCAGTGGTCACTATCTATTGCACGAATCTTGAACATAGGAAAATTTTGTTGAGATATTTTAGCTATATTTCTATCATTGAACGCAAATTTATTTTAAAGCTTAATTAAAGAAATAAAATATTCTTAGCAATTTTTTTTAAACGAAAATTTAAAATTTATAACAATAAATATTTTTATATCACCTTGGAAAAATTTCTGCGTGCGCCCATGAAATGGTTAACTTGTCTAACAATTGTTTGAAACGTTTAAATTTATATTCCCGTGAGGAACCTTGGACCTAATTTTAATATGTTAAATTTTTAAATGTAATTATTTTGATCATTATTTTTAAATTGTTTTATGTAAAAATTTGACTCCAAAGACCTGCAGTATGTTAATTTCAATAGAGCAAAGAAGATAAAATGTATAAAGCTCATTTAATATTAGAATTATAAATTATTTTTTTTCGATAAAAAGAATTTGTCAAAAAAATAATCATTTATGTTTTTATACAACTGGTATATTTTAAGAAAAAAAAATTAAATATAAAATATTGATAAAAGTACCAATGCAAATAATAAATTTTTTTTTTTACTTTCACCAACTGGCCTCAAAAAACTGTATTTTTGCCTTACCGTTTTCCAAAAACTGCATTTTTCCATCGGTCTCATATAAAATTTCCCAGTAGGCTGGCCAGTCTGTCCTGAATCCATCTCAAGAATCAATTATTAAACGATTTTTACACTAAATATACTTTTATATCACTTTGGTAGGAATTTCAATTTGTCTTGAAAATATTTATTTTAAACTATTTACGAAAAAAATATTTAGGAAGGTAGATTGGTCTCCGATTTTAATTATAAAAACAGCCCCGTTATATTTGAATGCAACAAAGGTTGCCGATGCTGGAACAATTGCGTTAACAGGGTCGTTCAAAACGGAATAAAGTTAGTAAAGGATTATTATTTTATGAAGTTAAAAAAAAAATATAAATGGATAGGAAATCATTTTAAAAAAGATTTATATTTTAAAACTCTTTGCTTTTCAAAATAATGTTTTTCTTTTGGAATCGTGAAAAATTATTTTGACTAATAAAAAAAGTTGCAGATTACAAGTGTTCCTGACGCCTCAAAAAGGCTGGTCCGTTAGAACTTTACAAAAAATACTGAAGGGTACTTTCGTTTGCGAGTAAATTATACAAAAAAAATGTTTTTTATCATTCATGATTTATATTAGCATTTTAAAAACCTAGTAATTGTATGTCCCTTTTTTAAAACTCATTCTTTCCATAAAAGATAGGACCCTCTGTTCAAGAAATTATTTAGGTTAAAATGCTTATTTTATTCCATGTATTAATTTTTTTTTAAAATGTATAAGTTAAGGATGCGAGTTTTATTTATATAAAAAAAAATTGAACAAACAAATAATAAAAAATATTTATACATAAAAAACATTAAAATTAGATAATAATTGCAATTTTTTTTATTGAATTAAAGAAAAATTGATGGAATAAAATTAGTTTTGGTTTGTACATATATTTTTTTACTTATTTGTTTAACTGGATTCTCCCGATTGTCATAATACACATAACATATGACTTGTTATAACTAATTTTTTGTATCTATTTTTTTATATATAAATATTTCAAATAAAGAAATAATTGAACGGAAAAAAAAGAATAAAATGAAATAAGCTTTATTTAAAATATTTGAATGTTTTACAATCGATTCATTTATTTATAAATAGCTCATTTAATGAAATAAATAGTAAAGATTTTTAACGAGAAATGAAAAGTAATTTCAAATTTTAATTTAAAAAAAGGCTTACTTAGTTAAATGGTAGACAAAAATTAATTTTCCATCCATTTATCCTTCATTGTGAAAAAAAATAAATTTATTGTGTTCTGTGCCGTAAAAATATATTGTTCACATATCATGTCAACTTTTTAATCCTCCCTCCCTTCGATAAACTAAAAGTGAAATTTATTAATCTCTTTGATTGTCATATCAATCTTTTTATCATAATTTATGATCCAGGTATATAGGCGAGTTAATTAGTGACAAAGAAGCTGATGAAAGGCAAGATGATTCCTATTTGTTCGACTTGGAGTACAAAGTATTATTGTTATATTATTTAAGTTTTTATTTTTTTTACCATAACTAACATCCACATATTTCCCTTTTAAAAAAATACACAGAACTAGAAGTATTATATAACAAACAACAGTACATATGTTATATATCCATCATTACTTTTATACACACTATGGAATATTTTTTGCTCCTTCTTTGATGTTAAATTCTCCAAAAATTATAAAAATAAAGTAATTATAATGTTTTGCAGAACTTCTGATATTTCTCATAAAAAAGGCAAACGATCAAAAAAGTAAAAAGTCCTATCTAAATGTCAATAAAAAAAGATATCATAAAAGAAAAATTCCCCTCAAAGAAAAAAAGTTATATTTTAATAATTCTTAAATGTTATTCATTGCAGTTTTCTTTAATTGTTATGTTTTTTCTAACTTTTTGTGATCTCTTGAAGGGATGTGAGCCCGTCTTGTATTTCTGCTGGACCAGGACCCTCTTTAAAAGTGAAGGGTTCTAGGTGTCAAAAAAAATTAATAATATTTTAAAAAAATTTCTTTCTTTAATCCATTAAAAATAAATTAACAATTATTTAAAAAAAACAAATAAAAATTTTCAATTTTAAATTATAACATGGTTTAAAAATATAATTAAATAACAATAAAAATATATTGTAAAATTTTTCTCGCATAGTTAAATTAGATATTTATAAATTAATTAAAAATTTATATTGTTAAACTAATTAGATAGTTTTAAAAATTGTAATTAATTTTTTATAATTTTTAAATAAAAGAAAAATCATTTAATTTGAGAAATATAATGAGAAAGTAAAGGCGATCGCTAATATGTTTGGAATTAAAAATTTTAACCCTAGAGTAGTTTCTAGATAGTCCAATCGCTTAAATATTGATGCATCTACGATTGAGGATTTTATAAAATAAATATTTATACTCCTCTTATTGATATATTTTTATTTCAATTAAAGGAAAGATTTATTAGTCATAATTTTATTTTAAACAGCTTCTATTTTCTTTTGCCCGTTGAGTCTAAATACACTTGAAACGCTAAGAAAATCTCAGAGTTTTATTCTGATGAATTATCAGGATCTTATGATATACTTTGTGATGTCGAATTTTGGTATAAAAATTTGACAGAATAGACCAAAATATGCTTTGCAGGCCCTTTCCATGTATAATTGCACTTTAGATTCCCTGCCTAATATCAAAACATTGCTTTTTATTTTAGCTACCTTACCGATCAGCACTTGCACTAATGAAAGGTCTTTTACTACTTTGAAAAGGTTAAAAACCTATTTAAGAAAGAGCACTGGTGAAAGCCGTTTAAATGGATTCGCAATATTAAATATTTATAAGGAGATTATTCTAGATAAAAATTAGATTATAGATGAATTAGTCAAATCTCAGAGAAAAGTAGACCTCTCTTTATAAATTCAAATTATAAAATTGCTATATTATTATAATATGATCTTAGTCATAAAATTTTATATTCAAAACGTAATTATAATGAATTCTTAGTCATAATATTTATATATTATACTATTTTTAGTAAAAATATTGCATTTGCACTAAGAATTAATGATCTGCATCGGGCCTAATTTTTCAAGCCCGGCCCTGCCTAAAATTATTTTAAAAAAGTTTTGCCGGCCCGAACCCCACATTTTTTTAAAAAAGTTTATTTAAATATAGAAATTAATTTTTATAATTACTCAAAATAAAAGATATATGATATATGGCGTCTAGTTTTTATAAATAAAATCAATTATTTTTATTTTACAGAAAGTTTTTTATATAAAATTGATATATTTAAAAAAAATTCCAAGGCCCGACCCAACCCGGCCCGAATTTTTTTAAAAAATATTAGGCCCTACCCAGCCCGATCCCGATTTTCCTACTTTTGCGGATCTATAAGAATTATTTATGTTTTTTAATATACTCATTTGTATTAAATTATATTATAATTGTTAAAATAGATTTTTTAAATACCGCACAAGAATTACTCATATTTTATTGTAATTCTATTTTTTTTTAAATATAGTTATTTAGAATAAATTTTTAATATAATCTTGTATAAAATTTATATATTTGAAAATTTATTTTATTGTATAAATAATAAATAAAATCTATAATGAAATTCTCTGCAAAATTTTGTTATATGCAAAAATTATATTAAAATAATTATTTTTAACATAGAATAAGATATATTGAGTGATCATAAAAAATCGGCGGTTTGGAGGGCAATTTTATTCTTCTTCCTACACCGAATGGATTGAATTAATTTAAAATTGACTAAACATTGATAAAATTTTCCGAATAATGCTTTCAGTCGCGTATTAATCATAAATTTGGCCAAAATTTTGTATGTAATATTTTTCCATTTATGCTGGCTACTATAGTGGTTAAACACCAATAAAGCACAGAAATGGCTAATTTTTAAAATCGGAAACTATAGTGGTTAAACACCAATAAAGCACAGAATTGGCTAATTTTTAAAATCGGAACCCCCCCCCCCTCTCACCCCTCCCCTTCTTCATGGATCAATCCTGGCTACGCCACTGTTTTAAACTAATAGGAATTTCCTCCTTACATTCGCTCCCTCTAAAAAAATATATACAATACTATACGGAAGAATTTAAAAGAAAAAATATATAAAAGTTAGTAAAAAAAATTACGACTAAAATTCAAAATTTTTATAAAATAATCATTTATAAAAAAATGAAAACCAAAAATTATTTTTAGAAAAATCTAATATAAAAAAGGCCTACAATAAGTGAATCTAATCTCCAATAAGTTTATGCAAAAAAAACCTCTAATAGTGCTCACCCCCTCTAGCAAAATCCTGGATACGCCTATGTTTTGTATTGTAGGTAGTAATATTTTATTATAAATGACAAAGGGAGAGAATATTAAGGATATAAGAATAGAGATGTAGAAATTTTTAATCTTCGTAGAGTGTTTCAGGGCATTTTTCAGTAAGTGAATGATGGAATATTCACTTGGCTATGCGATTAAATAAAACATTTAAAAAATAAATTATAATTAATTTATAACTTTTAAAAAAAAATTATCATTTTGAGTCAATATTTCTTTATGTCAATCCGGACCCTGGACCCTAACCCTTTTTTTATATTTCTGAACCCTAAAAAGTTCACATCCATGGATCTCTTGAATTTTATGTCATATTTTTTTATCATTTTTGATTAATTTTGTCTTCTTGACACTATAATCTTTAACTTTTTGTTTTCACCTTATTTTATTCTCTATTTTTTAAATTATTTTTAGTCATTCTTTTTCTTATTACAAATGCGGAAAATAAATTCGGCCTGAGACCCCAATTTTGTAAAAAAAAACAATTAAGACCGGCATTCGTAATATATTTTTTTTAAATCAGTTCCGGAGAAAAAATATTTTGGCTACTTCCGGTTCGTTCAGGGTCATTATGACAAATCGACAACAATTCGGCCGACCCCCCTCGATTTTTTTAAAATTTGGTAAGTAAAAATAGATTAATGTGACTAAGAAATAGCCAAAATTTTAGCCCCTAACATTTATATTTTTGTAGATATTAAGATTCAAGTTTCAAATATGACTTATTTTTACTATTATCTGCCTTCATTGAATTAAGCATATGTTAAAAACTACATAATTGTAAATAACAAATTTAATAACAAAATTAGGGTAGGTTTATAAGTCGAAAGGCTGCATGATACATAGTGTTAAACGGCTCGATTTGAGCCGATTTTTAAGGGCTAACTCAATATTTTATCCAGAATAATACTAAGCAAGCCTGGAGATTTTTCTCATAGATGGCATAAAGGTCTAGACAAATTAGTGAAATTTCGAGGCTTAGGCAATATTATTCTGACTAAAAGATTGAGTTAGCCGTTTTTAAAAATCGGTTCAAAATGAGCCGTTTAACACTATACGAAAGGCTAAAAAATAATATTGAAAATAAAAAATAAGGAAAATGATTAATGAGTAATTTGATTGATTTATTTTTCTTTACGAGAAAAATATAATATAACAATACATTATGTATAATATATTAAAAAATGGAAATTTTAAGATCTTTTCAATTTTTTTATTTATTCTTTCATATAATTTGCAGTTTTAATTTAATTATATTAATTTTTAAATTAAATTTTTGATTAAATTATATTTGGTTATGATTTTATATGAATACAATTTTAAAAAAAATGAAATTTTTGAAATTATATTAAAAAAAAAATTTATTAAATTTTTTAAATTTTTTTCAAAACTAAATTGATAGTAAGTATAAAGATATTGTAAGCTGGATTAAGAAGTAAATGACAAATATAAATTTAATGATATATTTTTTAAGTTTTCGGTTCTTATCTTATCTAGCACTTTGGTCATATACCTGCCCAAAATGAGCAAGCGTGAATTATATGAAGGCTTACCCTTCATATAATTATACCGATTTTTTCTCAGGATATTGACAAACCTTGTACCCAGATGAAACTAATTTAATGAGTGGAACTAACCTTATACCGTTTTAGTAAATAATTTGATTTAGTAGAAGAAAGTAAGAAAATATATAATAAGGAGAAATAGATTAGATATAGAAATACTGTTTAAAGTATTCCAAATACAACTGTCTAATATTAAAATTAAATTAAATTAAAAACTTTAAGGGAAACTTTATCTTTTTACAGATAACCAATTGAATCTCATGATGTTTAAATATTTACAGATATCCAATTGAATATCACGATTGTTTAAATTTATTTATTACAAAAATATAATCACGATTGTTTAAATTTAATTTATTACTATAAAATGTAAAAGTATCAGTAAGTGGTTTTTACGGAAAATACGACAATTCATTCACTTATTATAATGATGTTATAACTATAATAAAATAGTAATTTATATTTCCATGTAAAACATCTTTTAGTAGATATCAAATATATAAACATAACCTAGTTATGTGAGATACCGTATGAATAGTTAGGAATAATAAAATTCAATATAAAACATTAAGGGATTTCCA